TTTACTGAGCTCATAAATCAGGTTAGAAGTCGGCTCATTTCTCCATAAGACTGAATGGTATCAGTGTGTTACTGCAACCGATGGAGCTGCCCCCTGCTGGCCTTTATATATATATATTACTTTCTCTTCACCTGTTTTTATTTAGCTTTAATGTGTTTGTGTTTTTATGAAAGCAGTTTCTATAACCTGGTTAACGATGGCTTAAACTCTTATTTCTCTGTCCCAGGAGAAGACTTTCAGGAGTTCAGCCCCACAAACACTCAGTGTCCTTACTCAAGATCTCAGCTGATCAAGAAGCACAGGTACATTCCCACCTGTGTGTCTGAAACTAATTAAATAAATACAAATTCAATTAAATTCAATAAAAATACATTGGGATTGTATAAAAGACGACTAAAAACAAGCCAAATATTCTTATATTGTTAAATTTATGGTCCTTTTTATCAATTCTTAAAATAACAATCTAACCACTAAAAGGCTGTAATGAGCCTTAAAAGACATAATTTCTTCAAATAGCATAATATAAAATAAATAAATGTAGCTCAATATTATCTGTAATATCTTATTAAGATTATCTTAGAAATATTTTCTTAAAACCAGATTACATTTTTTTAATCTAAAACATTCTTTACAATTCTTTTCTTTCTAATGTTTGGCAGGTTTCTCATTAAGGACGCCGCACCGAGTGACACCGAGGATGAGGACTTCGACGTGGTGCACCAACACCTGCAGAGGAAACAGCGCAGGAAACCCGGGAGCCGCAGCCACGACGGTGGCGAGGAACCTCCCATCATCCGAGGCCTGTGGGTGCAGGAGATCGACTGGCTGAAGTCAGCAGAGATCATACCGCCTCCGCCGCAGTTCACTGACTCACGCGCCTGCAGCGACGCTGACGTGTACGGAGGCTGCAGCTGCGCCGACGCCTGCGCCACGTCGCAGCCGGAGGACCAAGACGCAGACGACACGTCCGACAGAGGAGGCTCGGACTCCGACTGCGGCCTGGAGTCCATCTGCACTCACGAGAGCGACTCGGACTCGTCTTGCGGTGCAGAAGACGCCGTTCAAGAGTCAAATCTGACCTTTGACCTGATGCACGTGTCCGGTTTTAACTCCTGCTCTCACGCTGGCGGGGATTCGGACTCTGCGAGTTGCACGCAAAGCCTGCTGGGTGTGTCAGATACGTCTCTGCGGGCCTTTGGTCTGGATGCCGTGAGCGATGGCGACGCCGTTTTGGACGTCCTGAGAGGAAGAGTGACGCAGATGCCGAAGCTCTCTGTCGCACCTTTCTTCAGAGATTTGATCAAACAGACTCTGAATGACTGGAAGACCAACGAACCGCTCAATGAAGGGCTCTTATTTCACCGTGTAAGACCTTTACAACCACGTTAAATAGACACTGATTGTCTTAAACAACTGGTTCCCAACCCCCACTAGGGGTCGCCAAAACTTCACAAGGGGGTCGCAAGGCCTTCTTGATTTTAAGGCGTGTAAGAAAATGTAAAAGATATACACAGTAGGTCTAAATTTAAGTGTTTGGTTCACTTCTCTTAAGGAAGGTTAACATAAATAGTCTGATAGAACAATGGTCAAACATCAGGAAGAAGGAAACACTGAATTTGTGAGAAAAGAAGCTTATTAAGTCAGTATGATTGTTAAACATTATATAAAATACATAATACAGACAAAGAATTGTATAAAAAGTTCCCTAAACAGGAAATAATCTGCTCAAAATTCATCCAAATCACTGGTTTTACACAAACTTCCTGCAGTTACTGAGTTCACTGTTCG